AGTGATTGCGATAAGCAAGCCGATCATCTCAGCTTCGTTGCCTTGTGTTTGTGATTAACAGGAATGATAGACGCCATTAGGACTTATTTCCTGATTGAGATCCTGTCACATGTACCGGAGTCTCAATAATAATGATAGGATTGGGAAGGGATATTCAGGCGTGAGGCGCTTGTTCCAGGTGCTCAAATTCCCCTGAATAAACAAAGGCTGCCAATCACGATTATGAAGCGTACGGCTGAATCGGAACGAGCGTTCACCGCGGCTGGTGCCTTCGAAAACAGGGGAAGCTAAGCACAAAAAAGAGCCACAGCACGGCACTCCTTTCTTCGTTTCAAGAGAGCGGCGTAAGGCTTCGGTGAGCCTTGTCACCCTGACAAAAAGAAGGGTATATATGCAATCAGCAGCCTAGAACGATTGTGACAATGGCGACCTTGGTGACTTGCGGAAGGGTTATTGTGACGTTTGTGACCCAACAAGCCGACCTCGCAAGTCGCAAGACCTCTAAGGAGGCTAGAAGATGGCTTTGTCAACATTCCGTGAGACAAGAGCTGCTTCAGGATTCGTTGAACAGGACGCGGCTGCGCGTGACAAGCCCAAGCCAACCACAAAAGGACGAGAATACAAGGCGCAATCTGCCTTCTTCCTCCCGGGCCTCACATGACGCCGGCTTCGTCCCTGATCCGGGCCCACGGGTTGTTCCCATCCCGAAGAGCCCGTCAAGATGCAAAGCGAAGACTGCATGCTTGACTTGACCGAAAATTGGCGGTCTGTAGGGCGGTGACGGAGACAATGCTGAAAGACAACGCTGATAGACGGTAGGTACGCTGCAATCTCTGCCGTGGCATTAAGGTAGTGTTGGGTTATGATGTGTTTGACAGTTGGGTGAAAATATCGTGGGGCAGTCGTAACGGTGCCCATGGATGCCCGAATTTCAACTGCCTTGTCTCGAGCTTGTGTATGTTACAGCCCGAATGTTTGCTTTGCCAAACGTTCCGTTGTAGAAGCTCGACTGAATTGTTTGCTGAAAGGGAAGGTTCACCGCCAACATCTTAAGGTTACCTCAGGTTCTAGCCAGCATGGGGTACAGTATCTGGCTGCACTACGTAGAGTGACCAGGCCGATCATCATGGCTTGTTTTGGCCCTTGAGTAGACATCGACGAAGATGATACATAAGGTTTTCTGTTCTCGCCCTTGGATGAACCATGTCGAACTGCACTACCTATGACCTGTTCAGCCCAAGCCTTGGTTAGCGAGGGGGTTTGATATCATCTTTCCACTTCATTCGAAGCCCCGGGCTCGCCCAACAGCTTGGATCGCACAGTGTGTGGCTCTACCCACCTGCTTCTCTATATATCTACAGGGGAGATAGCTCAGCTGGGAAGATCTGAGCTTGGTTTACCTTCGGTGTCATCTGAAAGGTCGTGGGTTCGAATCCTGCTCCCCTTACTTCCATCCGGTTTTTAAAAACCGGATGGAATCTCTCCTGCCTTCCTAGTCAAAAGAGACGTTAAAGATGATGTCGGGCTTACTCTAGTCCTTAGCTTACCTATGGGTACACGTGACTAGGCACATGTAGAAAATATCTTTCTTGAGCTTAATAATATTAGTTATAGTATTATTAAGCCAACGAATAAGAGTTCTTAAAATTAAAACTTTAATAGATCTAATTAACCAATTGCTATCTCTCTTACTAAAAATTCTGGCCTTATAACACCTTACAGGCAGCTGATCAGCCAATTAGCAAAGAAATTTAGTACTATTAGTAAGTGTCACACGGACATTGCTCCCAGTCTAGGGGTTAGGATCGCAAGGCTCAGCAGAGCCTCAAACACTTGGAATGAGCCTCATAAAGGCTCGGCGGCCGCAGGCCGCGAGGCTCAATCTCACTTTAGCTAGACTCTCAGCTACCAGCATTGCTTACCCAAGCCCCTCTTGACGCTTTTAGGCTAGCGAGCCAACTATTAAACTGCCAATAATGCTAGTAAGCAAGACGAAGCAATCTCCAGTCGTCACAGAAGTGATCACAGCTACCAAGTAAAAATCAAAGCGACCGAACGAGGATCGGCGCCAGAAGAAGGAAGTAGAATAATTAAAGACACTCAGAAAGATCCGCATATATGAAGATCGCCATATAGATACACTAAGGTCTCAAGCAACAATGCTTGATACTTACCTTAGTACGCACTGAACCTCTATGGTATAAGAAGGCTTTGAAGCCTAGCCTAGATAGAAAGGCTTCAAAGGATCCAATAAGACTTTCGAGACCAGAGTAGTTTATTAGCTGAATTGAACTACTGTTCTAAGCCCAAAACTCTGCCCTTATCATAGTAAGATCCTTTCTCCTCTATCTCAAAATCTTGAAGACAGGATAAAAGAAGAATTATCTAGCGCATACTCAAGATAACTGAAGCATAAAATGGGAAGAGGGGGAGGTGAGGTCTTAGTATATTAGCCAATTAGAAGTAATAAAGTTCACTAGAATAAAAAAGGAGATAACAATAAGAACGGACGTCAAATATTGAAATAACCATAGCTTCTTAGGCTCTCATAGTGAGACGAGATGAAAGTTCGGATTTGTCATGGCGCTAGCGGACCATTATATTACTAAGCTATGTTCCAAAAAGATATAAGTAACCGAAGCTGGCAATTCGGTCGCTCAAGTGGTTTTATATAATTGTGATAGCAGTCGAGAGGCACAACTGCATGGCTGCCATTACAAGATTTAGGGTTATAGTTAGAAGTGGAGAAGCTGACGGTTTTCATCTAGCATTCAACAATATAATTTTTTCTTTAGATTAAGAAAAGAAGCATCACCGCTTACCAATTAGGTAGACTATATAAGTAATTTGGCATGATGAAATAATATATATATATATCTATAGCTCAAGATATGCAGGTTGTATGTAGTTAGTACGTTAGTGCCTTTCACAAGTAAGGCACTTATTATGACAGGCTAGGGTGCATATGCCCAAACGGCCAAACTTACAAAAGATAGGACGATACTCTGCTTGCAAAGCAGAACTCAGAATGCATACTGTATAGCCAATGCCAACTTGTGACACTTATAAAGCCTCGCGCTTACCAACTAATCATTTATCATATGGACGTTTTTACTTACGAAGCCCACGTAGATAATTATTAGTACTAACATCTTAACTTTCATTCTGTTAGCAATTGTGCAAAAAAAATAAAAAAAATTACCTTTCACGGAAGGACAGCGGCCGCCCCGAACACTATTTACATCTTATTTACGCTTTCATTTGTACTTTCATTTACACTTCCAATTACATCTCCAATTGCACCTCCACGCTTCATAAAAAATTGAAGGGTCTTCTCTAAGTCCTTTTTAGAAACGGTACAACCCAGAAACTAACCTTGCATCCTCTACGGAAGAGCTAAGGCCCGTAGGGCCTCCCCAAACACTAGTTCTACCAAGAAGCGTATTGGAAGCTTTAAGTAGCAGAAGATAAAATCATTACTAAACCTAATTTGTAAGCATCGACAACGGAGATTAAATAAGGTCAGGCTGGCGTGGATTTGATCAAGTGTTTGTTGGAGACGGCGCCTTCAAGGTATAGTAATTTGAACTGAAGGTTTCAGGCGGCAAGTATCAAGCCCAGCCTGAAGAAAATAGTACGCTAATTTGTGTTAGTGCACTAACAGTTTCTTCATTGTCTGAGTGCAGAGTTGCATATCTGATAAGCCTTACCACGACAAGCTAAAACCCAACCTCTATTCTACCTCTTGCTTCTCGTGATAGGGCGACAGGTAAGTAGCTACCAAACATCGTCTACAGTTCTTCCTCGGCAGTATCGCGGAACCGAAAGGAAGATATGAGCTAACAAACCTTACCCAAATCGGTACCATAGCCAACTGAATGACGCCCAGAACACATTTGCAACCTGAGTTACCTAGGTACACAATAGATAGGTACTTAAATGGAAGCTTGAGTATCCATGTTTCCAAAGGCTCAAATATTGAGACAGAAGGTTCCGCCAGCCATGCCACAGGCCACAGGAGGCTCTGAGGGCAAACGGCAGCAACTACAAAATGGAGTGGAAACCGCACCTCTTTTGAACATAGTAAGGACGTCCCAATTGAGCATGATTCTCTCGGGCTCATTCATGCGATATTTATGAAAGTGCAATATCTCGGTGAGCAAGTAGTTCACAGCTGGGGAGGAAGGAAATCTTCCTAGGCTGGGAAACACGGATCGCAGAGCCGCATCTTGGTTCGCGAGGTGGTTCGCCGGCGAGGTGGTTCGCCGATAAGGCGACCATCAAAGCTCAAGCCACATGTTCTTGGCAGCGGTATGTACCGGGCTGGGGTACCAGGGCAGGCTCCTGCTCAGCAGCCCGCGACCTACCGGACCGTGTCTCTGGGTGGCCTGTGTATAAGGAAAAGCCCATCGGCATCAATCTTGTCGACTTTGCGATAAAGAACAATTGTTTTACTCTCGCCTGGGTCGTCTTCGTTTACTTTACATTTATGCCTCAACTTGCTGCACCCGGGTCGCTCGCTTGCTATGTCTGCTGGTACCACGCCACGCTGGTAAACTTGGCTGTGAATACGTTGCTGGCCCCGGCCTAGGTTTGTCGACGAACCCAAAGACATTCTTCACCTCGCGACATCATCTTTTTATGGGACTATATCTTTTTACACACACCTCCCTCAACTTATTGCCACCCCACTCTTTTGGACGACAACACTCCCGGCAAGCTGCCTGCGATCGACTTCCCATCGAAAGTCGCGCACAACCACACCTAGCAGTCTTCGAACCCCCTTAGGAAGTATCGTTGGGAGATACATCACTCCGCATTAATCTCAGACCCTTGTTGCGCACACGCACGAATCTTGAGAACTTCTGGTGTATCAAACATCACCCGAAGGTCACATCTCTGACACTGGTTTGCCTCATTCACCGGGTCGCACTCAGTCTGACGAGGCACGCAACCCCACACTCGCACACGAACACACCCCCGCAATCAGCCTGCCCGTCATGGCCTCTCAGAAGCCCCAAGTCGACATCGGGCAAGGCTTTGTCAACTACCTAAGAAAACAAGCACGATCTAGACAGAAGCCTACCGTCTGTAGTGTTTGCAATCTAGATCTGCCATCAGTCACCGATCACGTTCAGTTCGAGGCTCACATCAAGACTGTTCATGGCCAACTTTACAACAGCAAAACATCAGATAAGGAAAAAGAGGACTGGCTGAATGCCCAGTGGAAGGCATCCCAGCCTACAAGTATAAGTGAAAGGTTGGTTGGTCACTTTCCTCTCACCTCGCCCTCACCTGCCCTCACCTTCCCCTAACATAGTGGCCTGTACTCACATCTATTTGTGCATCACATCAGAAACCCAGGTATCGACGTTGGTTCTAAATCCCGAAAGGCTGCCCCTGGAGATACCAACCAGCCGTCAAATTGGGGAAGCAATGCCGGCCAAGATTCGGGCAATGTGGCGCAGGCGCAGCCAGACCGTGCTTTCCGAACAAAGAGTCCTTCCCCCAGCAACAAAAGAGAGAGCTCCCGTAGCCAGTCTCCCCCCAAGCGCTCCAAAACTTCTGGCCGTCAGGGAGGAGCAAGTGGGATGACGGAAGATGCCCGTGCGGAGTTTGACCGAGGACCAACTCAAAAAGGAATGCTGTGGGATCCCCAAAATGATACAACCCGAACTCGCACTCAGCCATACGACAAGCCATACGACAAGTCGAACGTTGCCACAAGCCACAAGTTACCTTTAGCTGCTTCGCAGGCCAAGCCCCGCCGTCAGAGCCAACAGTCCCAGAACACGCCCTCTTCTGGTCGAACCCCTGCTCAGTCCGAAGATATGTCGCTTGGTTTCCTCAAACAGCCCGAGACACGCGCTATTTCCCAGGAGCAACTTGTCACCGAAGTCAAAGGGATTTATGCGGGCCTTGTTATGGTCGAGAGCAAATGCATCGAGGTCGACAACGCCCAGAATGCCGAAACAGATCCGGCCAACAAGCCCATCAATCATGAGCAATGGCAGGCTTTGATAGCCCTGCATCGGACCTTGCTGCACGAGCATCACGACTTTTTCCTTGCTTCACAACATCCGTCTGCGAGTCCAGCACTGAGACGATTGGCCGCCAAATACGCCATGCCAGCCAGAATGTGGAGACACGGGATTCACAGCTTCCTTGAACTGTTGAGACATCGTCTTCCGGGGAGTCTTGAGCACATGCTTACGTTTATTTATCTGGCATACTCTATGATGGCATTGCTATACGAAACTGTGCCTGCATTTGAAGAGACGTGGATTGAGTGTCTCGGGGATCTCAGCCGTTACCGGATGGCCATCGAGGAGGGCAATCTTCGTGACCGGGAGATCTGGACTGGGGTTAGTCGGGATTGGTATTCGAAGGCTTCCGACAAGTCCCCCACCACCGGACGTCTCTATCACCATCTCGCCATTCTTTCGCGACCCAACGCAGTGCAGCAACTCTACTACTACGCCAAATCCCTTTGCGTTGCAATCCCCTTTGGCTCAGCTCGTGACAGCATCATGACGCTCTTCGATCCTGTTTTGGGGCCTGATTCAAGTCGTCATTCAAGATTGCATCATATTGATCTGGCATTCGTCCAGACCCACGGTGTGATGTTTAGTGGTAAATCTCAGGAGAAGCTGGAGCAATATATGGGGAATTTCTTGAAGCCCCTGGATGACCACATTCAAGTTTCAGGATATCAGTGGCGTGAGCCTGGGTATGTGAAGTCGGTGATTCTTTCTCCCCAGTTTCCATTTCTAACATCTAACAGATACCACATTGCAATTGCAAACTGCTGTGCCATTATTGGTTGGGGTAATGAGAAAAACCCAGTTTTCCGAGCCATCAAAGCAAAGGCAACCGTCAGTGATGAGTCCCGTGACCAAACTATGACTGGAACCGATGGATCGGAAGTAGACCTACAGCTCGTAACAGCTCTGAGGTTGGCCAACCGGACTCATGATGTTGTCTTTAGACAACAGGACGACCTTAACATCGTTCCATATCTTCATGCGACTCTTGCCTTTGTCTACCATCTAATCTCTCTCCCAGAGGCCATGGTCCATTTGGCGCCAGAGTTCCCCTGGCAACTGGTGTCCTACCAGCTGAACTCCTTGCTTCGGGATTATTCGGCATTTGGCCGGTTTGAAAGTGACCAGTTCCCCAGACCGGAAAACGAAGAGGTCCCCCGTCCTCTACCCGAGGACTTTGCCATGCGCGGCCTTCTGTGGGCCGAGAGCTACTTCCCCAGCGACTGGTTCTCAGAAGACAAGATCATCGATGATGAAAAGTATTTCGAATCGGCTTCTCTCTTCGAAGAAAGAATCACACGCGTTCTGTACTTGGGCTACAGAATTGCCATGAAGGGACAGGGCAAATGGCTTCGATATGATATGAAGACTCATCGGTTCGGGGTACACCCACAGTATGAGCTGGAGTCTCACAGAGGAGGCAGAGATTACGGAGAACTGCCTGACGCTGTCGCCAACCCTTGATCAGCCGCGAGCGTGGGTGCACAACTGGCAACAAGTGCACCCAAATCATTCATATATACGGTACATGTCAAGCCAACGTTCACATTCAAGTTGCGAAGGTTAGGAAGTCTGGGACAGGTGTCAGGTGAGCCGCCAGGGGTTCCTTTCTTTTGTCAACCTGCTTCATTCACATTTCTTTCAGCGAATAGATAGACTTTCGGGATTTTGATAACCTTCTCACACATGTACATCAGCGATCGAGGTATTCAAGTGTGTACGGTCTAGGTCCTGGGTTTTACCACGTGAAACCCAGCGAAACAAGTGTGTCCATGGTGCTATTTTGGCCCTTGAGTGTAACTGTGTATCAGTGTAATTCTTAAACATTCAGTAATACTAGTCAAGAATCCCATCAGAATCTTGAGTAAGACGATGTATAGGCGAACGTGCAAGTAACAAGCGTTATCGGGACAAGAGAATGTGAACATCAGAACAAGCGTAGATGTTTGATAATCAAGGCTATGTGAGAGGCAGCTCATGTCATTGGACAAGGCGACAACGGCAGAACAACTAAACCTCGAGATGGCGAAGAAAGACACGTTTGATTTCCATTGGTGTAAATTCTCCGCGGATTCACACAAGAGTACACTAACATCAAGAGCTTCAGCTCACTCATTACGCCAGCACACAGCTAACTCAGCTCAGGGGTTCATTTACTTTGCTCCGGATCTGGTATCCAAGCGCCACAGAGTGACAGCGGACGTTGTTCTCATTTGCACCCCACGTGCGATCCAGACCCCTGGAAATGGACCCCTAGAAGCCAAGGAAGTGCTCAAAAAGGTTCAATTTCCTTTGTTGCGAACTTGGTGCCAATCTCCGAATCTAGGCACCCTAGTCGGTTGCCTTACGACACCATCCCTCGCTACGCGGGAAATTGATAACTAGGGATATAATCCGATGCTTCCGGTGCAGCCACCATGACGTTCAAAATATCAAAGAAATGCAGGAGGTAAACACCACGGACAGTATCATGAACGCCTGGTCTGTGCTGTGCCGTTGCATTCGGTAACATCCACTTCCATTGGTAAGGCAACCACCAGGGCAGGGTGGAAATGACGACCCAGAAATCAGAAACCTCATGTGGATATCCCAGGAGTTCGGTATCAACTATTGAGTTTGGGAAGCTGCGCCGCAGCCGCGCTCCTTCCTTCGGTCGTTGGGTAGTGCCTGCTACGTCACCTCCACTCTAGGCAACAGCATTCAACAATGCGGCACCGATACAACGGAAAGAGCAATGAGGCCTCAACTCCGATACCGAAAAAACTCGGAATCTGAACAGACCGATCGACCGGCAATGAAAGTGGGGGAAAGGCGTGGAACTCAGGTCGTTCGCCATCACGGCTTTGCGCCTCGTCGGACCCTTACGCTCAGTATCTTCAAGAAATCGCACAAACGTTTCAAAGAAGCTTACGACTCACCCTCGACACTCACCTCCTGAGCCACAACGATGTTCGCCAACAACCTCCAAATCTGACACGACGAATGTAAGATCACCATCTAGGCCCCAAGTGATACGAGTTGATCATTCCTGTTCTCAGATGTCATCATCGAGTAACACGCGATTTTACTGTCCAAGACCGATGCTACATAATGTCCAATACGCGAGGGGAAAAGAAGGCAACCACGCTAAGGAGTTCCAAGAGGTGTCCAAGGAGGGGGCTGAAGCCTGCTAGGCCAGGGCTGCTGACGCTTGTGAATCGCCAACGACCAACTTTATTTCAACGTTTGGGGAATTTTGGAGCAACAATTTGGCGAGAATCCAACGTTAGACTGGGAATCATAGGACACTAGCGGCGGGTGAGGAGGGACGCTTCCGATTCATTGACTGAAATAATTTCTTGCAAGATGCTCCAGTTCGGTCCGGTGATGATGAGACGGTGTGGTACACCCCCGAAGCTCTGACCTTGGTGTGACACTAATGTGGGAACACAGACGATAGACGTTGAACGGATGGCTGTTGAGAGTGTGAAGAGCCGTCGCCGATATTCGCTTGTGGATTGCACGCCGCTCGCACTTCGCAGTGACGTTATAGTCAGTGAGTGTCTGAGTGAGTGAGCGAGTGGACACTGGGTCGAAAAGACCAGACACCGACAAATACAAGAATATCCACACCGAAAGTTCGGAGGTAAGGAGGTGGAAACATATATCCTTTTATAGCAAAACTATCGAAAGGTCGTAAAGTCTCCCACTCATTTGACTTACACGGAACTTTCCGTCGGCGTTGAGGCTGACTGCACGACAGATGATATCTGACTGTCCTTATGTCCGCTCTGATGACAGTCTCGGTGTCTTCCGCGGCCGCTCAATATCATGTGAGCATTAATCTTCTCGAATGAAGCCTTTTGGGGACGATACGATTCATCGGTCCTCCGCGGCCGCCGACTGTCGGTGTCATATGTGATATGTGCTCTCTGTAAGGGACCATGCAGAAGGACGTTGTCATAATAAGTACATATGTATACAATCGCCTGTATTACTCGGTGTAACATGCGTCTTTTTTTGCGGCTCAACAAGTCAGCATCTGGAGCAAGGTACTATTTTCGGTCATCCTACGCTTTTCGGTTCTATGAGTGGTTCCCAAAAACTCTCAAGAGTGTCCACCGGATCTGTGTTCTCACGGCGCTTCGCTTGTTCGCCATTGCCGGCAATATGTCGTGCCACGGTAGGTCACGGTGGAATGGTGGAATGTCATAATATGTTTGCCCATCACCCCGCCTGTGCTTCCTGTTCCGTTGCATCAACAGCCGGATCGACAGTTACAGCGTCGCAGGCATCACAGGCACAGATATGTGTGCCGCGCCTTTCCGCCTTTATGGATTACCATGGCACAGTGTGACGATCTTGCGGTTGGATCTCCTATCATCAAGCAGGTTTTCGGTGAGCAGATTTTGGCGAATCGGGAGTGTATATACCAACGGTGTGTAGCATTCATGTTAGAAAAGTGTCAAAGCTACCTCAAGCTGAGGATGCCTATGTATATGTCAGATGCTAAAACTATATTCTATGCCGCTGATATAATGGGAACTCAGGGAGTAGTGAGGATGGCCTCTTGTTTGCCTTGAAGGCCTCACATAAGCCTGCTCACAAGGCTGGCATATGACTTTGAAACCTTCAGGCTGCGAATATGTCGCATTGCCTTGTCGAGGTTGAGACTTTTTAAGTTTCAAGACCTTTCGCTTGATGAGGTAGTACAGGACGAGGTGTCGTCTGAACTGTGTCAGATAATGTCGCTGCCTGGAGGCTCATAACGGAGATGTTTCTGTAGGCCAGGAGGCATCCAATGAAGAAAAAAGTGTGGCTTACCAGCAGGTCGCTTATGTCACGGGCTACGCATTACTGTGTAGATTCATCCGAGTCAGGATATTGCGCTTCGAGAATTTCGAGAATAAATGTCGTCTTCTCAAAAGGCCTTGGCTCTTCCAAATTCTCACAGGCTCCCCAGGCAACACGCAGGTCCAACCGCTACCTTACCGAGTGCAACGTTGGTTGCCTTATTGCAACCCTGCGAACAGTGCGTTTCCCCTCACTATTGCATTTGGGACCAGAAAAGATCACTCAATCTGTCTCTGAAGCAGTATTCTAGACCCCAGTCCACCCCGTTCCGGTTTACCGGTGTCCTCAAATACGGAAACCCGACCGGCCGGACCCCATCTCCGTTGCTACGGCTCCGGAAGCATCAAACCCCACTCCGGGACTGCAAGATGAGCTTCCGGCATGCATTGCCACCTCAAATAATGCACGCACTGCATGTCATTCGCATTCTGTTCAGGGCAGAAGTGCAGGAAAACGACGACACAGCTTGAAATACCCATAGAAAGACAGCCTTACCACCTTTACCCCTCCTCTAAAGCCCTGGCCCCTCCTTGAAGCTCAAATGGTTATCCTGACCGAAAGTGCAATGTATCTTAGCTTAGCTGTAGCTTTTGCCTATTGCTGCAACATTCAGCGTCGGCTGAGCGAGTTCTGGACAAGCGGGGTAAGCCGGAGTTCATGGTCGTTTCTCGTCTAATTTCTTGGTGTTCTGGCTGAAGGATCGGCGGATATTGAAGCGCCATCAGCCTGATTAGGTATATCGGTATGATCATGAACTGTGTAAGTGGCTCGAGCGGTTGCCTTGTCCCGTGCCTGCATGCCTCGTGGTGGCTGCAGTTATCTGATCCTGATTGATTACACGTACATACAGATGATCCTTCCCCGCAGGACTTTCGGGATCTTCTTCATTGTGCAGAAGGAAGGTGGGAGTGCAAGTAGGTTAACCGGTTGGAGGCTGCTGCTGAGCGGCAAAGGTGCGACAACTATTTCCGGAAAATAGTGTGAAGTTCGATAAGACATTCCGGTTTCTTGTTTCACCACACCGAAGACACCTACTTGAGGCACCGAATATCAATGATGAAACCGATCGGCCGACCGGCTTCGGGTGTTTGGTGAAGATGTGGTGGCAGTATGAGTGGATTGTTGGTTCTTGGTTGGAAATGGAACGCCTCGTAACGAATACAAACCAAAGTCCCTGAACTCCAAACGCTAGCATGATGACGTTGGATGAGCCTGCGCTGGAATAAGGTCACCACCTCGCTATCTTATCTAATCATCGATCACGTTCAATAACTTTCGACTCAAATGACTACTAAGGCAGTATGATCCGGTCACTAATGAGGAAGAAAAAAGTATGTTCAGGGTGACGATAAGATACAGACTTGTATCGTTGGTTTCCAGAATCACTAGCTGAGCTAGCGTTACATTACTCTGGACGCCAAGAAACCCGAAGTTCCGTCGGACATTGTTGAAACCCCAGAGGGAATGAATGTCCGGAAGCGCTCAGATACTGGGGGGGTACTGTAAGGCGACCAGGCTAGTCCTAGGTAAGATTAATGTCTCGATATCACATGCCGCCCGGACACATGGGCATAGTGCGCTTGCTACCGAACGTCGATGCATCTTGCGCTCATTGTCCTCACTCAAGAGGC